TTTTTTATTTATTTATTTAAAATCTTGTCTCAAATTCCAACAGGAGATTATGGTGGGCTCGATGTATCAGGCGGAAACCCCCACTGGCTTATGTAAATATAAAGATAACGAAAAAGGTAAGGATGTCCAAAAAATGCAAAGCAAAAGGTGATCGGAGTGCACTGAGTTATGACCCTCGCTCCTTTCTCCTAATTTGCTGAGTAGTTTATGAAAATGATGACCAACTCTTGTGGAACCCCGAGTGTCTACCCGAAAACAAAGTGGTGGCGTTCTTGACCGAGGCATCAAGACGTACGGGAGAAGAGAAGGGAGTCGACGCCATCCCTGAAGGATCCCACATCAAGGACAATGAACAGGTGAGACCTGCACAGCGCCAGCCTTTGTTTGCCAAAAGGGTGCGCATGTTTTTTTCTTTTTTAAATAGAAACATCATCACCATGGCTTCCATTTTTTTTTTTGATACGGTAAATTTAAAATCTTTTTCTCTCCAGGCATTATATGAACTTGTGAAATGTGACTTTGACACTGAGGAAGCTTTAAGAAGACTTCGTTTTAATGTAAAAGCAGCCCGAGGTAGGCCCTCGCCTGAAACGAAGATGCTCCCACGTTGATGGGCAATTGTCCACCTCACAAGTTGCACATTTGAGGGTTAACGCTGTTGTCGTCTTCACAGAGGAGCTTTCTGTCTGGACTGAAGAGGAATGTCGAAATTTTGAACAAGGACTCAAAACTTATGGGAAAGACTTTCATTTAATACAGGCCAACAAGGTAAGGGAATTGAACAAATGTCTTCTTTCCACTCGTGCAAACAATGTCACTTCTTTAAAAGTACAAAAGAAACATGCCAAAACGTCGTAACAAAATGAAACCCAGTTAGAAACGAATTAAACACAATTAGAAACGTAACAATGGGATGAACAAAAAGGGAAGAGGCTGTAGGCCGAAGTCCCTTTTCCAGTTTCATCATATTTCTGAAAGTAAAAGCGCTGAATCGATTTGGTAAGCACAACATGAATTTCACTACTAATTGCTGCTCCCTTTTTGATGATTCATTTTATTAATTTTTTTGCGATGCAAGACTTTTTGTTGTGGTTTCTCCTTGTGCATTTTGTGTTGACAATGGTAATAATGGTTGTTTCATGTCCGCTGCATTAAATCTTTCAGGTGAGAACTAGGTCTGTAGGAGAATGTGTGGCCTTTTATTACATGTGGAAGAAGTCTGAGCGTTATGATTTCTTTGCACAGCAAACCAGACTTGGAAAAAGGAAATACAACCTTCACCCTGGTGTCACGTAAGTTTTTATTTCATTTTTTCCCCCTGATGCTCTAGCTAAATGAACTCACACAGTGGATGTTGATGATCAGGTTCAACGGCCCGAGCAACAGTACAAGCGAGGCAAAACAGTGCATCCGCAAATTATTCACTGCTTCGTTTTTTTCCCTGCCCCACATTTGATGTTATAGCCTTATCCTAGAATTCAAAAGAATTTACTCACCCCACCTCCAAATTCTACAAACAAAACATTACGAAGAGAATGTGAAAAACGATCTGTGAAGAGATCGTAAAATGGTTGCGCACTGCCATTATCCTGCCCGATGGAACTTGACAGCTGCTGCAAAGATGAACGGCATCTGTACCATTGCTGTTGTGGGGTCTTTGGAGGCAAAGTGAATTAAATCCATTTCCCCCAAAGGAGAAAAAACGAAGCGTTGCAAATACTCGTCAGATATGCCGTGTAGGAAACCAGCCCTAATCGAGACAAAAACTCGACATCCAACTTCATTGCCAGTTGACGAGACGCCGTGTGTAACGTGCCCCTTGGCTGCTGTGTGCCGTCAGAGACTACATGGACAGGTTATTGGACGAGACGGAGAGCGTGGCCTCCAGCAGGGCGGCGTCGCCCCCTCCCACCACGTCCAGCAGCAGTGCCAGCCACTCGGAGAGGGAAGACAGCAGCGGTCACAACGGTGAGCTCCGTTTCAAATCACCCAAATGCAAAATGTCCGTGTACTATGAATCGCTTACTGAATGAGATTGATTTAAAGCGAGTCCTTGATTTCTTAAAACCCTCCCCCTGCTCCTTTAAGCGGCTTCCTTGCGTCAGAATTCCCATTCAAAGATGGCATAAAAATGGCTGCACAGCACAAATCAATGATTTTGATATGACAGTGAAACTCCTCTACAACGAAATTATGTTTACAGCAAGAAATTTTTCACAACAGGGGGATTTTCACTGTAGCAAATTTGATCTCAGATGTAAACATGCACACACACACAAAACGTATATGTTTACTCTTTATTTTTATTCCAATACTGTGCATAAATATGAGCATACACTTATTTGATATTGTTTAACATTAACATACAATTGTTTTATATTAATCACTCCACCCTGTCTGTTGGTTTTAAAAAGTCAGTTATACTCTTTTGCTTCCCAACACTTCTCGATTTCTTGGATAATGTCTTTTATTTTGCTTCCTCCGTCTTTCATTTTGATCACTTCTACCCTCTCTTCCAGCGTCATAGCTCTTCTTGTCTTAGCTGCTTGACATCCATGGGTCCGTTTTGTAGCCATTTTAACAATGCAACGTTCTTGCTGCGTCTGAAACTAACAATAACAAATACTTCCTGGAATACTGCGCATATGTTAACCAGTGTGGTGGTTGCTGTTGCCGTTTCCGAACAAAGCAGTAATGGTCGCTGTTAGATTAGACTTTTGCGGAAGGCTTGTTTTCATTGTAGTGAATCTCGTCGTGCGGCAAGAGCAGAGAAAAAGATTTCGTACAATGGAACAGGGGGATTTTTCGTCGTAGGGGGAGCAGAAAAGTGGGAATGGCTTTCATGCATGAACATTTTTTCACATTAGGGGGTATTTTCGCCCATGTAGGTTTAGTTGTAGAGGAGTTTCACTGTATACCGCTTGTCCTGCATATCATTCAAAATCTCCGAATGAATAGGCCGATTTACTCACCTGTATCATAAAGTGCAGGATAGCACGGTGAAGATCACTCTGAATTGGTGGTCGGTGCACCATCCCTACAGCCACTTTTGACTATATTCACGGTTTTGAAGGACACACATTTAGTAACTCCGCATGCACTTCGAACTGTAACCGGCGCTCCTCGTTCGGGTTCCCGTTGGATGACATTTCATACGATCGCGCTCAAAGTATCAAAATGTGTTGTTCTTTTTGACAGGCATTGCAGGCCACAGTTCCAGTCACGTAGGAGACGGTACTCATATTACCCCAGTGAACCAAGTGAAAGCTGAGCCCGTTCAGTGCAACGGTCCCTCAGGCGATGGTGCCCTTCCCACCTCAGACTCCAATGGATGCAGCCACTCTGGCTCACCCAGTCACGAGCGAAATGGCTCTCCGGAACCTCCCGCAGACCAAAGAGACATGGCCGTGGCGCATGACAGGCCGGCCAAGAGGTTCAAGATTGAGCCGGAGCCTTTGGCCCAAACTGAAGTGGAAGCGACCAGAACGCAGGAGAACTGAGTTGTCCGAAGCTCTATTTCTTGGTTGAAAGGGGGTCAGTGAGGACTTGATGACTGGCTGTGTGAAGATTCAACCAAAAATGCCGTTGATCCTCCAGCGGGGGGGGAAGAGTCTGACGCCTCTCATCTCTCGAGCTCGTCCATGTAGCTCCAAACTTGTAACTCACCGTCTGTAATTACTTGACTGACTGACAGCATTTTTGCCAAGAATTTCCCTTTTTTGTATTTGTATTCAAAGGAAAAAAATCGATTCCCATTATTTTTTTACATAAGATATTTATATTTTTTAACAAAAACAAGTCTATAATGGGTATTTGCTTTTTAAGCCATTTGAACATTTGTGAACAGCAGAGAGAATTTAAAACGACATTGTGCTTAAGTTGCCATGAGGAGGCGGAGTAAAAGCACACTCAGCATAAGCAAGCTGCTGATGTTGCTCGTTCACTTTAGTTGCACTTTCATTGTACATTTCTGTGGTTGAGAAGAAGCAGCAGCAGCAGAATGACAGTTTCACTCGAGAAATGAACCACCACTGGTTTGTTTGTGTCAAGCCGCTGACATCAGTGATGTCCTGTATTGTAACGCATGAAGAAGACGGCTGTATTTTGGGATTCTCAGAATCGGCTTCTTTGCTTTACATTTTCTTTTTACTAGTCAGAATGTCAGTGATTTCTAAGCTTTGTATAGATTTCTTATATCCATTGGTACATTTTGAAAAAAATTGTCTTCATCCGTTTTTCTTTCGATGCTTTCTTTCAGAAGCACATTGCCTGTGTGGCTCTGAAATATATTTCATTTTAAAAGTAGTCATTCCATTTTTTTTTTGTCTCGTTTGACTTTTATTCCATTTCAAAGCAATTTTTTTTTTAAGTTGCTGGGTTTAAGCATCACTTTAGAAAGTCTTCATTGTTGTGGCTACGCGACAGTTTTAAACACTATTTTGATTTGAGCGAGGGACATCTTCCAACCACCCGACCATTTTGGTGAAGTTGCCTCTAAATTAATTTGCTCTCTTTAGGTTTGGCCATTTTGTCTCAAAGCGCGTTGCCACAGCTCGTCACGTTTTCAAAGTTTTGCTCCACCCCCGTAAATGACCCCTGAATAAAAAAACGACTGCATCATACATATAAAACAATTCGTTATAATTGACAATGCTAGGACCTGCTTCAATATAAAAGTAAAGCATAACGATGAGTTAGTATAACCCATCCGGAATGCAGAAAGTCGTTAAAAAATATAAGTTGAAGGCACTTGGTAATAAAGATGGAAAAAATGATGGGTGTCTTTCTTCAAAGTAGGTCTCTTGAGATTCACTCCTTTTCTGTTCAGATGTCAACAGGTCATTAGTGTACTGAACCATAGAAGTGATCATTGCAAATGACGTAAAAAACAGTCTTACTTGTTTGCTCTTTTGTGAAGGTGATAAAAGAGTACACGAGGCTCCCTGCAATGCTTTGGGGACACAAAAGATGACAGAATACTTAAATGACCGGCAAACTAATGCAGGAAGAAGAAGAGTGTTAGCAAAACCGCCAAGTGTCATACATATTCCAGGTAAAATAATATTCCTAAGAAATGTTCTTAACATTATCTAAGTCTAAATTTTTGTAACATTTGTTCGACATGGGCAACCCAAAACAATTCTTGCTGCCTTATTTTGAGCAACTTGTATAAATTATTTTAATTCTTTCCTTAATCCAAATATGAATGTACTAACAACAAGCTCTCGAGTACATTTGAACATAAAATTGCATTAAACACAATGGCAAAAAAAGTGACCTTTTTGATGCAAATGATAGTTCGCCGATGTGTCAAACTTCCTTGATGTCCGATTGTTTATTTATTTATTTATTTTACCTTTAATTTCCGGGAGCTGGTATCGAGATACTCCACGATACCCGATACCTAAAAAAAAAAAGGCTGGTATCGGCCCGATACCGATACATAGTATCGGTGCTCGCCCATCCCTACTATTTAGTTTCCTGATGACTTTTTACTCTATATATCTGAATACAAAACTTGTACTTGTTACTTTGTCAAATTAGACAGACTACTTTTTTCAACCCTGACCCTGTTTCAACAGAACAAAACTGTACAGCTTGGTGGAAACAGAGTCTAATTCTTAGAAACAAACTTAAGTCGCTGAGTCCCAAACAGTCCGGATATCTGATTCCCAGCATGGAGTAGAGGCAGTGGAAAGATCTGCAGGGACAAAAACAGGTTGCATTCGTTTAGTCTTTCCTTGGCTACAACCCATTTCCCCCCCTGCCGCAATTCAGTATTTACACCTCACCTTACGTGGGATACCTGAGTCCATATCTGGAAAGGAAATGACGCCCAACATTTTGCCAACCCTTAGAACCACCACTGTAGCCAGCATCTGCCAAAAAAAAAACAAAAAAAAACGAGGGTGGCAAAATAATAAACAAGGCTGGTCACATGACCATAAGATTACTGATGCACGGGAAGTACTCACTTGTCCAATTCCAACACATGTTGATGAGGGAAATCTGGAATAAATTAATATCAACCCTTTCAGGGACAGCGGTTACGACAGTGGACAGTTTATCATGTTATCAGGTTACATGTGTAGGAGCACGTAATGAGATTTTTTTATGATTTAATGACAATAATAACTCTTACTTACAATGACCATTGTTATTTTGGTTGAACTGATTGATTGAATATGGTTGATTGACAGGTTTTGCTCTTTGATTTGGGAGTGGCTATGGGCAGCCTGGGAAAATGGGGAAAAGGTGGATAAGGGGGTGTGGCACAGGTAGAGCAGTTTTCAAACTGTTCAGTTCTGTCTAACTAGCCATCTCAGGTCTATTTTCTGTGTGTTTTTTGCCATTTATTGTTTCCTTTGCCCACTCATTTTGTTGTACTATCAAGAGACAAATTAAATCATCGATTCATTGTTTACATCCTGCATCGGATTCCTCATTTTTTTCTGTTGAGAAAAGCTATCATCGCCCGACCTCACAGAAACATCAATCAAAGGATTGCCATTACAATATACCGTATATACAATATAATGAAAATATCTCAAAAACATGATGTGCTCGGAAAAAAAGTAAAAACATACTTTCAATCGGTGTCAAAAATATGTTTTGAGATACAAAGTCATTCCTGATTAAAATTAGCTGTTGACCATTTTTCTGTTAAGTCAAAATAAAACATTTGCTTTTACTTTTGAAATCGACTTTCTTGCTCTCTTTCTCTCTGTATGTCTCTCTCTCCAGTATATATAATGTACGTCGAGAGATAAATTAATACATTGTGTACATACAGGAATTATAAATGTATCATAATAATAAAATGTAAAGATACATTTAACAATGCAGGTTATTGTGTTGTTGGTTAACTCTAATTCATTTAATGACAAACAATACAATTAGAAAATTTGAACGGGCTACGCGACAGTTTTAAACACTATTTTGATTTGAGCGAGGGACATCTTCCAACCACCCGACCATTTTGGTGAAGTTGCCTCTAAATTAATTTGCTCTCTTTAGGTTTGGCCATTTTGTCTCAAAGCGCGTTGCCACAGCTCGTCACGTTTTCAAAGTTTTGCTCCACCCCCGTAAATGACCCCTGAATAAAAAAACGACTGCATCATACATATAAAACAATTCGTTATAATTGACAATGCTAGGACCTGCTTCAATATAAAAGTAAAGCATAACGATGAGTTAGTATAACCCATCCGGAATGCAGAAAGTCGTTAAAAAATATAAGTTGAAGGCACTTGGTAATAAAGATGGAAAAAATGATGGGTGTCTTTCTTCAAAGTAGGTCTCTTGAGATTCACTCCTTTTCTGTTCAGATGTCAACAGGTCATTAGTGTACTGAACCATAGAAGTGATCATTGCAAATGACGTAAAAAACAGTCTTACTTGTTTGCTCTTTTGTGAAGGTGATAAAAGAGTACACGAGGCTCCCTGCAATGCTTTGGGGACACAAAAGATGACAGAATACTTAAATGACACAAATTACCAGCTCAGCCTGCTTGTCCATTTAATCAACAGACATGTTCCCATTTTCACCACGCAAAAATAATAAACAGGTCCATATCAAGAACAATATAAATGAGATTAATATTTTTGGTTGCTCTTTTCAGAAAGTGAAAAACGTCAAGGCTCAGTATACATAGACCATGTGAAGTTGCCTGAGAAATTAAACATCTGTAATTAAACAACTGCGTTAGCTTATGAACAGTGGTCTTACCTTATGTTCAAACCAATAAAATTAGTCCAGGAAAAAATGTAGTCTCCGCCCAAGACCATTCCAACGTAGGTCACCACAATATTCTGCAACAACCATAGCCACGATCAGTTGTACAATTCTAAAGATGACACATGCCGGATCAACTGGTTTACCTTAATGCAGCCCACAATGGAAGTGGTGAGTGCTGAGTTGTGCTGTGTGCACAGCATGATTGAGTACATTAAAATGAATCTGGCGAGGGACAAAATGACAATTTAGACAAGTGTTGGAAGTACAGGCCATTAATAATCTGGTGTCAAGTGTTACCCCATAACAGAAGAGAGGACAAACTGCCCGACAAATAGCTTCTCCGACCATCCGTCAAACTCCAAACTCTAAAACATACAAGGAAGGTCTCAGCTCTGTAATAACACTAGTCGGTCAACAGAAATTTTTAATCAGAAGTTAATTTAAACAAAGAAATTTTTTAAAAAATGTCTGTATTTTCATTATTTTGCTTGCGCAGTACAGATTTTACCATGTGCTTATTGAAAATGGCTCATTATATTTTATGTCAAGGACTTATAAAATGACTATTAAGATGTTTATAAACCAGAAATGAATCCCGACTAATCGTACCCATACTGTAAAATGCAAAAACAACAACCACCACACCATTTTTAAGTCTCCGGTGTAGTATGCGTACGCCACAGTGGGTATAATCATGATGAGAGCGTTGTAGTAGAGAAGTCCAAATTTGCCCAGATCCTGTCAGAACAGCAGCAGAGTTCCAATCAAGGTTAATTAAAGTTAAAAATAACTACATTGAAAAAAAAAGTAAAATCCAGTCAATGAAATAAAATAAAAACACTTCAAAAAAAAAAAGAACACCAAATGAAACGTTAATAAAGCGAACTATAATTATTGCAAAAATGTTTTTCGTCTTTGTCAATATCATCCATGAGCTTTTGGGGGACACCCAAAACGTATTGATTTCAGTATTGTTCAATGTTCATACAGAAGAAGGAAGGTCAAACAGTGGTTTGAGGATTGCAGTTTTACTGTACATGGACGACACAACCCTTTTAATTTTGCATTCAAAAAGTACTCCAAGATACTGAAGAAAAACCAAAACAAAAGTAAAACTAAAACCTAAACTAAAAGGAAGCCTTGTACCAAATACTAAAAACAAACCTGCTCTGAAAATGAACGAACACGAACTGAATTTAAAAAAACAAAAATTAAAACAAAATAAAAATGAACATCGTAAACTATCATAACTCTGTTTCCAATCCAGAAAAAAAAAAAATGAAATGATGTAAGCAGCTTTGCTCACCTTCGCATCCAGTTTCTGCTTCATGTAAGCACCGCTGGCTGCTGTCAGCACGTTGTTTAGCATTATGAAAGTGTAGCCCTCAAGGTCAAACGCTAGGTCGGCGCTAGCAAGCACACGGACCAAACACGATCAGTATCTCCCAAGTGAATAATACTCCTCACGTTTGGCAAATCCATCCATCCATTTTCCAAACCGCTTATCCTCGCGATATTTCATTCGATTTTGTCATAAATTTACTGTCCCTTCCGAATAACTCAACAGGCAGCCAATACTGTCCAAAAATCTGTAACTTAAGCTACCTTTCCTGAGGCTACTTGGTAGCTAGCTAGAGTTTTGCAGTACTTGATTTTGTTAAATGTCTGACTTGCTGCCGTAAATGTTTGAGTTAGCTCTCTCATAAATTGATTGCTTCTCTTATGTTTTAATTGATTGTACACTCCAAAAAAAATACAACAATGAACCGGTAACATTTCATACAATACTCCATCGTGAATAACTCATGCTAGCAATGTAGCTGCTTTGGTTGCGGTGTCATTCTGCCAACTCGTAAGTTGAGCAGTTGTTACCTTTAAATGCCACACCGCTCAGTGGTAGTGCGACTCCTTTGATTCCTATGTGGTCTGACTGACTATTTTACGTTGACGCAAAGTGTCATTTCTTCAGTGTTGTCCCAAGAAAAGATGCATGATAAATATATTGCCCGAAAATGTGAGAGTTGTACTCACGTTTGTGAAACATGGGACATGTACGCGTTGCGTTCGGCCAACTCACCTGGCGGCGATCAAAGCACCAAAGATCATAGTAAACACGGCGGTTTGGATTGCCGTCGAGTACGTCTTCCTGATGAGAAAAAGCAAAGTGGATGTTGTGTGCTGAACTGTTGGTGCACTGACATAATGAAGATTGGCAACGGAATGACACTTGCCTTAGTAAGATGCCTTCACACAGCATGGTGAAGAGAATGCTGAACCTTCGCAGAACTGTAAACATCGGCAAACTAATGCAGGAAGAAGAAGAGTGTTAGCAAAACCGCCAAGTGTCATACATATTCCAGGTAAAATAATATTCCTAAGAAATGTTCTTAACATTATCTAAGTCTAAATTTTTGTAACATTTGTTCGACATGGGCAACCCAAAACAATTCTTGCTGCCTTATTTTGAGCAACTTGTATAAATTATTTTAATTCTTTCCTTAATCCAAATATGAATGTACTAACAACAAGCTCTCGAGTACATTTGAACATAAAATTGCATTAAACACAATGGCAAAAAAAGTGACCTTTTTGATGCAAATGATAGTTCGCCGATGTGTCAAACTTCCTTGATGTCCGATTGTTTATTTATTTATTTATTTTACCTTTAATTTCCGGGAGCTGGTATCGAGATACTCCACGATACCCGATACCTAAAAAAAAAAAGGCTGGTATCGGCCCGATACCGATACATAGTATCGGTGCTCGCCCATCCCTACTATTTAGTTTCCTGATGTATGAATGTACTCAGAACTAGCTGTTGAGTACATTTGATACATAAAATTGCATTAAACACAATGCCAAAAAACGGTGACCTTTTTGATGCAAATGATAGTTTGCCGATGTGTCAAACTTCTTTGATGTCCGATTGTTTATTTATTTGCTTTTTTACCCTTGATTTTCGGGAGCTGGTATCGAGACTCTCCACGAGTACCCGATACCTTAAAAAAACAGGCTGGTATCGGCCCGATACCGATACATAGTATCGGTGCTCGCCCATCCCTAGTACTGTATTTAGTTTCCTGATGACTTTTTACTCTATATATCTGAATACAAAACTTGTACTTGTTACTTTGTCAAATTAGACAGACTACTTTTTTCAACCCTGTCCCTGTTTCAACAGAACAAAACTGTACAGCTTGGTGGAAACAGAGTCTAAGTCTTAGAAACAAACTTAAGTCGCTGAGTCCCAAACAGTCCGGATATCTGATTCCCAGCATGGAGTAGAGGCAGTGGAAAGATCTGGAGGGACAAAAACAGGTTGCATTCGTTTAGTCTTTCCTTGGCTACAACCCATTTACCACCCTGCCGCAATTCAGTATTTACACCTCACCTTACGTGGGATACCTGAGTCCATATCTGGAAAGGAAATGACACCCAACATTTTGCCAACCCTTAGAACCACCACTGTAGCCAGCATCTGCCAAAAAAAAAACAAAAAAAAACGAGGGTGGCAAAGAGCGTGAAAATAATAAACAAGTCGGGTCACGTGACCATAAGATTACTGATGCACGGGAAGTACTCACATGTCCAATTCCAACACATGTTGATGAGGGAAATCTGGAATAAATTAATATCAACCCTTTCAGGGACAGCGGTTACTACAGTGGACAGTTTATCATGTTATCAGGTTACATGTGTAGGAGCACGTAATGAGATTTTTTTATGATTTAATGACAATAATAACT